ACATCTGTGGTGTTTGACTTGGAGGTAGCAAGATGAACTCATGGCATACTAAAAAGGTATTTCCTAGCTCTCTTCACTGAAAAGGACTAGAAACAATGACTCCGCAGCAGCAATGAACACACTAACACCCAAGTACTGATTTTTTTAGTTGTTGTTCTTTTCTTTTTGAGTCAGAGTCTCACTCTGTCACCCAGGCTGGAGTGCAATGGCATACTCGCGGCCACCGCAGCCTCAACCTGCTGGGCTCAGGCGATCCTTCTGCCTCAGCCTTCCAAGTAGCTGGAGCTACAGATATGGCCACCACTCCTGGCTACTTTTTTTATTTATTGTAGAGATGAGGTCTTGCCAAGTTGCCCAGGCTGGTCTCAAACCCCTGGGCTCAGGCAATCCTCTCACCTCTGTCTCCCAAGGTGCTGGGATTGTAGGTGTAAGCCACTGCTCCCAACTAAAGTACTGGTTTCTTAATGCCATTACTTACTTAAAAGAAACAAGACTCCTTGGAGAAATGGTTGATATCAGGTCTGGGGTTGGAAAAATCCAAGACAGTCTTGACATGCATTGATGTATGCCTAACAAAAGTTAAAGATACTATCTTACCAGGCCACCAAACATTCCAAGGATCTCAGAATTCTTTCGTTCTAATTACTCCCTCAACTTATACGCTAACATCATCTAATATCTCAGTTCATATTTTTAACTCCATAAATTGACATTATTATTTTGCACTAAGAATATGTGTACATTCTTGCATGTAATACTTTCTTTCCTCATCTTTTTGTACCTCAGACCTTCCTCCTGGATTATATTCCTTCATCCTAAATCTATAGCCTTCCCAGATTCTTTGAGAGTAGGTCTGTTGGTGGTAAAATGTTGCAGCTGTTTTTAGTTTGTTGTTTTTTTTTTTTACTAAATCCCTGTTTGCTCTTGCTCTTGAAAGGTGGTTTTCTTGATATAATGCTAGTTGTTTATTTATTCCTACTATTTTTCTAGTAGTTTATTCATTCTTAGTACTTTTTCTTTCCTTCTCTGGCTTCCACTTTCACTATGAGAAGTCCACTATCAGTATAATTGCTGTTTCATTGTTGGTCATCTCTCTTTCCTCTCTGCTGTTTTTAAGTTTACTTTGTTTTGGCCCTCTACAGTTTTACTACTTTGTGTCCAGATGTGAATATCATTTTATTTACTTTTCTGGTATTACTTGAGCTTCCTTTATCTGTGGATTTATGTCTTTAAGCAATTGTAGAAAATAGCCATGATTTTGCAAAAATTGCCTCTCTTCCATTTTCTCTAGTCTCTATCGCTTAGAATCTATTTAGACCTATGTTAGGCTTTCTCATTCTCTCTCTTAATCCCTCACTAACATTTTCTACCTTATTATCTTTTGATGCCACGTGCTGGGTGATTTCTTTAGATTATGCCAATTCCCTAATACTTTCTTTGATTCTAATATACCATTTAATTCTTTTTTTTTTTTTTTTGAGTTGGAGTCACACTCTGTCACCCAGACTGGAGTGCGGCCCCCGGCCACCACAGCCTCCACCTGCTGGGCTCTGGCGATCCTTCCACCTCAGGCTTCCACGTAGCTGGAACTACAGGCAGGCGCTACCATGCCCGGCTAATTTTTTGATTTATTGTAGAGATGAGGTCTCGCCAAGTTGCCCAGGCGGGTCTCAAACCCACGAGCTCAGGCAATCCACTCACCTTAGCCTCCCAAAGCGTGGGATTACAGGCTGAGCCACCGAGCCTGGCTATTTAATTCATTTTTTAAATGTTAATGGTATGATGTCCACTTTTTAACAGCTTGTTTAATTATTTTTCTGATATTCCTGGTTGACTTGTTCATTTTTGTGATCCCTTCCTTTATTTCTGTATACATTTCATACACAGCTATTTATTTATTTATTTATTTTTTATTATTATTTTTTTTTTTTTTAAGTTGGAGTCTCACTCTGTCGCCCAGACTGGAGTGCGGTGGCTGCTCCCGGCCACCACAGCCTCGACCTGCTGGGCTCCAGCAATCCTTCTGCCTCAGCCTTCCGAGTAGCCGGAATTACAGGCATGCGCTACCACGCCC